TGCTTTCTAGATCAGCCAGAGGAGAGACCCTGGCTTGATAGTGTGCTGTCATCAAGCTGCAATGATGTCACCAACCCCGCCCTTCCCACTTTTATTCCAATTTCAGATTGTATTTTTTGGTGGACACTTGACTGATATTTCAGAGGTAAGCTCTGGCCAGCAGACCACAGCACTAGTTTTGAGGACTGAGGTGACAAATCTGAGTTCTGTTTCTTGTATCCTGGGCCATACTCAAGAGGAAAGATGGCTGAGCTGCCAAGGGACTGGAACTTTCTGACCCTCCAAGCCAAAGGTTTGTACAACGGTCCCAAGTGTGTCATGGGGGATATGATATGGTCACCAGGTCATTTACGGTTCCCATTGTATTGACTTGCCCTGTGCCCTGGCTACAAAGGGGTCTGGGAAGCTCATGAAAGTGAGATAGAAACTCGTTTTCAAAGGGAGAGAGGGACATGAAGTCCAGTGAAAGAAGGACACCCAGACTGAGAAACATCCCCCACAACACTTGGAGAGTGTTGGCAGCAGAGGCTGGAAGACCTGGGCACAGGTGTAACCTGGGCTCTGGAGGAGGCTGCCAAGGACCCACATGGTGGATACAATCCTTGTGATTGCCTGACAAGTGCCTCTGGCCTTGAATATTCTTCCTGTGGTTAGGAAGAAAGTTTGATTGTTGGCAGTTTTAGGGAAGCAACGCCCAGCCCAGTGCTCTGGGAGTTCCCAGCACTGATAGTGGTGGTGAGTTGTCTTGATGTCTTGATTTTTCTTGCTTTTCAAGTTTTATATGTTAGTTACTGACCAAGACTGGGGAAAGAAGGGAGGGAGGAAAGGAGAGAGAGAAGGAATAGAGGGTCAGAGAACTGAGAGACAGGTGTGGCAAAGGGGAAGGGGAGAAAAGAGGGAGGAGGTAGGCTTCATGGACTGGAGCACCTAAGGTACAGGTTCACATGTAACGGCTCAGGGAATGGGGTCTGCATCCTTGTCTAACGAGTTGGGGCACCTGTCTTGACTCTCCTTGGGTCTACCTGTTTCTGCATAGCCGGCCTCTCTCATCTCCTCGTCTGCTTCGTATAGCAGCCTACCCATCTGTTCATCTTGGCAACATGGTGAGCCTACATTACCCTGTACCTCATCTGGAACCTTCCCTCCAACTTGTACCCACTGCAAGGTCACAGCCCCCCCTCATTACTCTCTCCTTCACCCATTCTGTGTTCCACCAGGATACTTTGTCTCCACTGTGGGGTTGACTGCTGGTAGCCATTGCCAGGCCAGAAGGGGACAGGAAGAAGAGCACCAGCTCCTAGCAGGTTATCTTGCTCCCATGAGTACATGGGGGCCAGGGCTGCAGAAGAGAGTGGGAACAGAAAGACCATGTGCTGAGCAGAGAAACTAGACCTGGTCTTACAGAAATGGGCCTCTTTAAAGTTTCCATCCCAGGGACATAGCACACAAGCTCAGGGATACCAGAGTGAACCTCAGAGAGGAGATTGTCTGAAGCTGCCCAGGAGCTGTGAGAATTCTGGGAAGCAGTCTCACCTGCTCTCAGTGTGGCCTCTGTGCTCAGGAGCCTATGGCAGGGACTGAGCCATGGGAGGGGGACCCTGATGAGAAAGAAGTGGGGGATGGGAAAGGCACAGGCTCTTCTACAGGTAAAGGGGCAGGGAAATGGCCACCTCAACAGGAAATCCAAGGGGTGGTGAGGACATGTGTGAGAACTGAGAATGGAAGCAGGAGGTAGCCAGTGAGGTGGGAATGTAGCGGTACAGCCCTGTAGAGGGCACAGAGGAATTTGAAAGTTGAATAAAGTCAATTGCCTGCTAGGAGATTGACTCAGATCCTGGGAAGAAAGAGGCCAACACAGGCTGACCTCTAAGCACTGTCTGGGAAGGTGATAAGATGGAGCTGGAGGAAGGAGGGAGGCCCCTATGTGTCTGGGAGTGTGTTCAGTGCCCATAAGGACTGTCCTCTGTTGGAATCCACATCCATCTAGCCTCATGGAATGTCCTCTGTTCCCTTGGGCTCTTTCCAATTAATTCCAGTTCTTCAAGAAGAGGCTCTGACAAGGGGAGTGGACAGAGGCAAAGAGAGACCTTCTCTATCTGACTTGGTCTAGTCCCCTTGCCTGCCACCTACCCTATCGCCCCAGGAGCCCAGAACAGACATTCTTGGAGGTCTTACCTGGGATGGGCCCATCTCTCTGCGGCCTGGCCATTGGGGTTGGACATACCATCCTTCCAAGCAGGCCCTGGAGAGGTGGTGATCCTTCACATTCCCACAGTGCTGTAACTTTCTCCTGCCCCCCTCCCCCTAAGAGCCACACCAACTTCAAAAGCCTAATTACTCCTGATTTGAGCTGTTTCCTGGTTTTGTTACTCCAGGTGAGGATGTTGCCTCAGTCACTTTCACTTTCATATGTGAGGGGAGCTGGAGAGGGGGGAGGAAGGAGCATGTCAGAACCTAGGGAGAAGGCAATAGAGCCCAAGGCTTCATTACTAGGAAGGAAGGTGAAGCAAAACAACCAATGGGGGAGTATGAGGGTGAACATGACAAATCATAAAAAGTGAGGTTCACAGGAGCCCACCCAGCAGTGGCCTAAATGCCCCCCCCATTTCTGGGGTAATTCCTTATTTAAGGACAGAGTGCAGCCAGGAGAAAAGAGAAGACACCTAAAGCTTGGCCAGCTAGAAGCGGCAGCTCAGCCTTTATTAGAGAGTCTGATATTATCTTATATAAAGTGACCACAGCCACTGCTACCTGTTCTAGAGAACCCCTCCTCTTCATGATACTCCCGTGTTGGTTCTTGTCCTTCCCAGTTCAATCTGTGTGTGTGTGAGAGAGAGAGAGAGAGAGAGAGAGAGAGAGAGAGAGAGAGAGAGAGAGAGAGAGAGAGAGAGAGAGAGAGAGAGAGAGAGAGAGAGAGAGAGAGAGAGAGAGAGAGAGAGAGAGAGAGAGAGAGAGAGAGAGAGAGAGAGAGAGAGAGAGAGAGAGAGAGAGAGAGAGAGAGAGAGAGAGAGAGAGAGAGAGAGAGAGAGAGAGAGAGAGAGAGAGTAGAGGCAGGAGGGAACTGGTCTTGTCCCCAGGGAGCCGGCATCCCCTGAAAGGGGGGGGGCTGCTTCTCAGGAAGCAGAATCCTTAAGTGTGAGAATCCTACAGGGAACAAAGTGGGAGCTGGAGGTAGGCGGGAGAGGTGGCCCTTGTCACCCACCCCTATGAATACCAGGTGGACTTCCCTGCTACTTTCTGAGCCAAAGGGCTGCTCCAGTCCTTAAGGGGAGGGGGTGGGGAAGCCAGGGGCCTCACTGTTCTCACAGCTCTCCCTGCTCACCTGTAGAAAACCAGAGTGCACCCCAGGAATAGGACACAAACAACTGGAGGTGAAAAGGAAACTGTACACGTATTGGCGTGGGTGGACCAGGCTAGAGACCCTTCAGGACCATGGGGACAAAGATGCCAGGGCTCGTGGTAGCCAAGGGGCTGGCGACAAAGCCCTTCTTTATGGGAGGAACGCGGGGGCGAGGGCGCTTCCTCTTGCGCCCAGGAATGCCGCGGCGGCGGGTTCTAATTAGAAGCCTGGCTCAGGAGCGGGCAGCCCGCAGGGCTTTCTCGGACGCGATGCCCCTGGCTCCCAGCGGCCGGCGGGACGCGGGTTGCGGGTCGGTGTGACCAGTGTGGCCGCGCTCCTAGGCGCGCCCGCTTCAGCCGGCGCTCTGGGGGACCATCTGGCTCTGCAGGTGCCGCGTTGGGTCTTAAGACCCGCGGGAGCCCGGGCTCACCCAGATCCTTCCAGAGCGCGTCCACTCCCCAGCAGCCTCTCCAGCCCCTGGCCGACCCAGGGTGGCCCACCCTTCCATCTGCTCCGCGGTGCCGGCCCCGCGACCCCACCCTGGGCTCCTCAGAATCCTCTCCAGAAGCATCTCGAAGAAAAATGATTATCGGATTAGATGTACTTCGGCTTGCTCGGTCTCCCCCTTCCCCTCCGCATAATTATTATAATTCCAGGCAAGCCGTCGGAGAGTGTTCCTGGGTGGGGGGAAGAGGGAGCATGTTTGTGGGGAGGCGTCTGTCCAACAGGGCTCCACCAGCGGCGCGCCCCGGCCCCTTGGCGCCCGCATTCCTCTCACTCGTGTTGGTGAGATCTGGGCATCTGAGCGTACAGCTGCACGGAGCTTAGGAGGTGGTGGTGTCACACACCCCGAGGGAGGGTCGCCCCGCTTCCTCCTCTCAGACTGTGTGCAGAAACATGGGGGCCTGAGACCCTTCTTTGCTTTATCCCTAGACCCAGACAGGTATCTTCACAGTGTTCCTGGTCTGGAGTGGAGGATGCTGTCCATCCTCTCCAGGTCTCGGAGCCCCTCACTAGGGAGGCTCTGCACTCCATTACGTTACCCAGGTATCCCTCCCGGCAGCAGCGCTTTCTTGTTAGGCAGATGCTGGCTGCTGGCTGGCAGACCCCCACCGTGGTGGGGAAGCGCTGAGGGACTCGGAGCTAGCCCCAGTGCGCCTTTGCCGCCGGCTCCGCGCCACTCCCCTCCTGGTCCGCCGCTGTCTTTACGTAACTGCGCTGCTCCGAGCTGTTCAGTCTTGTCTCATCGACTTTGTCTTAAAGGTGTGTGTGTGTGTGTGTGTGTGTGTGTGTGTGTGTGTGTGTGAAATAGGGTCCCTAAGGAGAATCTTCCTCTTCCTACACTGATTCCCGTTTGCCCTCTTTCCTCGACCGTCGCCTGGGCGTTAGCGTCAAGTGTTGACCCGCTTTCTGCCATCCTTGTTCGACGCCGGGGACAGCTTGGACCGTCTCTGCTCTCCCACTCCACCCGCCAGGGAAATCAATGTCCCCGGAAGCTCCGCCACCCGCGTCCCAACTGCGGCCTGAACAGGTCCAAGTGGCGGCCAAGGAAAACAACCCGCCCGCAGCCAGCGCAGAGCGTCGGTGGGGGCCCTGCCCGAGGGGGCGGCTGCTCTAGGGCCGCACCGGGGCCCGGGCGAACGCGAGGAGACTCACTCACCACCAGATCGGGTAGCTGCCCAGTGCCTGCTTCAGGCTGCAGAGCACTAAGAAGTATCCGAGTGTAGCCATCGCGGGCTGGAGAGCGCGCAGGGCGGGGAGTCCGCCCCGAGAGCGCGGGCGCTGGGGCTGGCCCGGCCCAGGGAGGTGGCGCGGCAGCAGTGGCGCTGGGCCGTCCTGTGGCCGCGGGGTGCGCGGGGTTCCCGGGTGTGCACCGGTGCGCGGTCTCCGAGGGCGGCGCTGCGCCAGGTGGGCCGGCGGCCGGGC